CCCATGTGTTTGTATCATAGTTACCACCTCACACAAGTCGGCAAACCTGTCGGGAGCTGAATCTCCCGCCCTGGGTGATGTCTCCTAGCGAAGATAACTGGAGGCGGAGGAAGGCCCTTTAAGCCGACATGTAGCCGTCGCGCGCTGCATCATCACGTTCGAACGAGCGGACGGTACTATCACTTTCTCGGAACATAAATCGACTAAGTTTGCTCTCAACTCAAGGGTTCGTTTCCGACGGAAGATTTTAGCTGTAACGTATTAGCCGCGTGCCGTCATTGGCAATCGTATTTGGGAGACGCTTGGTTGCGATTAGTCTCGCCACAGGCAATAGTGGTTTTTCTCGTAAAGGGACGAACGCGGAGACGGGAGACACAAGGCTTTGGGTGTCTTCCGGCCTTATACAAAAGAAGGGCTTTTTCCCACTTTTGTTATAACAAGAGAGGGGTGGCGTGACGTAGGAGGTCACGTGGGCGCTCGCCTATATAACAAGGTGTACGGAGCCAGTAGGCGGTTTGAGAGACGGTGGGAAGAACCTCGTGCGTGTGCACAAAACTTGGCGCAAGACGGTGCATATGCGAGCCAGGCTCGCGAGTGGAGTCATTAGTTTGACGAAGCCTGCGGACTTTATGTCTTGGTGACTGCGGTCAACGGGGGACGCGATTGCTGTCTGTGCGTGCTCCGACGGTGAAGAGTGGTGTGAGTGGCCACGATTCAGCGATTTCTCAATCGATAAGATCGCTTCCTGCGATCGAGGCAACAGCCGTTTGGTGCGCCAGAACGGACTTTGTGTCCAGCGGACATTCGGTAACGGAAGCGAGGCTTTGTGCCGCGCTTCAAAAGTAGGAAAAAAAGTGGAGGCAATGCCACAAACATCAAAAACCATCTTCAGATACGGGTTTTGGATCGCTCCGCGATCAGGCGGATAGGTAGGTCTATCAGAAGCTAGGTTTAAGTAGATTATTAAGTGGTACTATATTTGTTTGTTTTCTTGTAATAAATATATTTGTTATACGAAAGCTCTGTGTCTGTGGTCGCTGTGAGAATCCATGACGTCACATTAGACACTACCTACCTAGCTGGGTCAAATTCAGCGGCCGTCTGGAATAGAAATCAAGTCAGCCGCTCTGATCGGCAGTTTTCCGGTTTTCTCCGATCAATACCAGGCAAATGATGGGGAAGCGTCCTAAAAAATGGCCGATCTTTCCTTCCTCTTCCTTGTTCTATCCTCTCCCCTCCCACGCACACATACATTCTCACTAATACTTACATGCACTATCATACATGTCGGGAGACATGTGTGTATCTCAGAGCTTGTCCCGACTGGGATGGTAAGGGAAGAACCATGGCGTGGAGAAATCCGCCGGCAATCAAACTGATAGGTCCGCTACTTACCATCTCGAGGCAGAGGAACACCAGTACCTCCCGGAAAAAACAAACAAATCCAACATGCACTACACTAACGGGACTAATGAACATACCATTCGACGCGCCCCAACACAAAACGCTAAATAAACAAATCGGTGGTGGGAATCGCTATATGCGGACCCACCACGGGCAAGCGAGGCTTGTCAAGCCTGCCTCGCGCCGGTTGTAAATAATGCTCGTATTGTCGTCACAGCTGTTTATCGCACCACGGCAGACATTGCGATAGCGATACTATTTGAACCAGCAAGATCGGTCCACGCCAAGATCCAGTCTCGGTTTCTTTTGTTCAAATGGATTGGACGAACAAGTAGTGGTAACAGTAGTATCACCTCAGCAGTGTGAGACTTGAGGGGAAATGGGACTTGATTTCCGCCGGGCGAACCCAGAGATTTGCCGTTTAGTACTCTTTGCTTATGAGTTATGGCACTCACGGGCGATTCTTCGTAGAGAGAGAGACACATTGTTGGGCATGTCACAGTACAGACGTAAAAACCGTAAAGAACAGACGTAAAGAATATATCCCCCCAAGCTGACATTTTGGGAAAATAATCATGTCTCAATATTTCAAATACGTTCTTCAAAAATAATATTATTAAAAAGGAATTGGATGTTTGCTTTCGCATGAAATAACATTTTCTGTCCAAAGTGTTTTAAATAAGTATACAAAATATTATTTCATTTACGTCAGATAAATGTCTAACTTTGCGTTGCATTTTGTTAACATTATCACAAGACAAAAGAGTAAATACCAAAGTTATAATTTTGTCAGTTTATGTGAGATATGTTTTTGTTAAAATTATAGAAACATTGCATTCCGTAAATATATTATCGTTTCATTGATCAGAGCTTTTCGGCTTATGCGTATTGCTGATTTTTCGTTGCCGGCATTCCAAATAATTGAATTATCGGCTAATGTCATCGCTTTGGACAAGATACCACCTCTTATTCTTTTATTGTATATCATTTTGCACTACCTACACATTTAAAGTGAAATAATAGATTATACAATTTAAAATGGCATTTTGAACAATTGGAATAAATGGTCATTCAGTAACATTTCTCTTGTTTCCTCTGAAGTTTCCTGACGAAGACACGGAGACTGAGCTGCATGACGCCATGTATGGAATGGTGACTTGGACAGAAGATGAATTAGTAAGTACCCTAGTGCAAACCGACAACCCCGCGGTGTGTGTGCACCCACGCACACAGTTTTCAGTGTGAGCTTTTTGCATCAATGGTTCATGAGAAAGGCAAAAACAAAATATCTAGCCACGATTGAAATATTAACAGCCGCAGTGTAATTGAATTCACTGAGATACATTATTTGAAAAAAAATATTCAGAAAACAGAAACATAAAATGAGCACTACAAGAATGTGAATGCACTGATACACAACAAAAAGAAATGTGGAACACTTTTAAGAAATATATACTCTTATACACACTTTGCAATACACACTGACACTAAGGATCCATCCTAACTGTAACAGTGCTACCTAAATTTTTACACAAAAATTTGATTTGTGAGGTATTCTAATTTTCCTCCTCATAAATTTCACTCTTTACTCGTGTAGTAAATTACACCGATGTTTGATAATGTGAATTAATATTGAAATAACTAATAAGCTTTTACATTTATGAAGCTCAAAAAAATAGAAAATTATATATAAGCAAAATTGACATTCGCTGATGAAGCCATGAAATGAAAATGAAACTGCAATGATACCATCCCATAATGAGCATTATAAAATAAGCTGCGGTCATCTTATAAGAGAATTACACACTGGAAGTGGAATAATATAAATCTTATCCGAATCAAAACTTTATCCAATTTCGAAAATATTGTGGAATGTGTATAAATTATTTAACTATTCAAATAGTTATATCATGATTATATGTTTAGCGACATATGACAAAACTAAAGAACTTTTGAGTTCAAGATAATTTCAGCGAAGTAGAGTATGTTAAAAAAAGGTTGGTCATTATTACATTTCTCTAAGAATTTCTACGTTAGTGGAACTAACGTAGCTAGTTCTGTACTTTTTTATATTTATTTAATCAAACAATAGTAAAAAATATAAATATAAATATGAACAAATACTACCTCATCGAGTAATCCCAAGCATCTGATACTATCTCCTCTAAAAAATAAAATGCAATTATAGTTATTAACGAAACGACTCTATAAAGAGGGATGTAATTGCATGAATGGTATGTTAAAGAAAACTAGCAACGATAGCGGGTTTTCTGATTTACCATGAATGCAATTATACCCCTTTATTCACGCGTCACGTTCCACATTTTTTCGTTTCCCTTAAAGAATAATTTGAATTTTGAGAAATTCAATCATATTTTTACCATTTGAGGTATGTATTTAGTGATGTCATACTGGTTATGAACCAGACCTACTTTACTGGGCTTTAGAGGCTCTAGCTGTAATGAAGTGTGTTATAAGAAATAACAAACGTTTGAAAATGGAAAATATTTAACTTATTGCGGTTGAAATATTAAAAGCAGGCGAAGTCATGTAAAAATAAATTAGTAAGAAAAGTAACGGCATGTATGAGAGAACAACACGTATGAATGTGGGAAAGGAGGTTCAGTTCTGACTCTTGACATTTTACTGGTGTACTTTCAGAGCGGGTAAATACAACTGACGATTACATTTTTTTTATATTTGTAATATGCTAAGGCCATGTGTTATACACGTAACACATTTATTCATATTAAATATTTAATGTTCCATTAGTCACCTAGTGTCAAACGTGTTATGATCATTCTTGCTTATGTTGAAGACTTGGCGTGTAAAGGAGAATATCGATATTTTGAATTATAAATAATTCACTTGATTTTGTAAAACAATAAAGAAGTTTTACCAAAGCATCTGCTCTCTCTGGTCCGTCACATTCAAGTAGATGAAGTAAGCATCTGTGCAATATAAAGCGACTTCTGGGTTAGGATGATTGATGCCATAAATGAGTAGGGTAATAGTTTCTAATTTAACTTACTACAAATATTATCATGATTGTCTAAGAAGAGGTAATAATTATTCGTTTATAATTTTGTTTCATTCGTTCATTGATTATATATACGTTTATATTTTTATGTTATATATGTTTTAATGTACGTAATCTGTGATGTAGTACATTTTTTTCATGTTTCATGCCAGTCTGGAAATACCTTTGATACGTCTGTGTTATAGATATATAATTTAACGATTTCGATCAGTTCTCCGAGTTCTGATTGGTTTTTGTAGACATTTAATTGCACGATAAAGTTTTAATTTCACGCGTGTCAGAAATAAAGTGATAATAAAGGATTTTGCATGGAATTAATGAACATATTTAGTTAACTAAACGAAGAAGTATTTTAAAGTAAATCGCTAGCAAATATCGTATGCTCAGTTACTTAATAATCAAACAATTGTTTTCTGTTTATAAAATACGAATGGGAGATCATTACTTCACATGGAAAATGGCATGATGGAATGTGAAGCTTATTTCACACACAAGATTTCAGGAAGGTTTGCGGGATAAAACATTTCGTAATATCTCGAACAATATTATTTTTCAGGATTACCGAGAGAGAAGTACATGCTTCTGTCTGGAGGAACTGGACGAGGATGCCCGTGTGACCTTCTCACAGGCTCTGAAGAAGTGCCTGGAATCTTCGCATCTGCAATCCTTCTTGAAGTATCTCAACAAGGTTTGTGGAAGAGAGGGAGACCTGCCCACATTTTCCCTTGTCCTTATTATGTTCGGAGAAATCATGCTTGATTTCTCCTTGAACACAACAGATAGCGTTCCAGGAAATTCGAATTCGAATCTTGAATGTAGCCAACATTGCTACTTCACGAAGTGTTTCTGCAACTCGCTATTTATTTACATACTTAATGGTTTAACTTGTCACTTATGTTTTAGAATGGTGTTTCTCTAGTAACTGAAGGTTACTAATAGTTGCATTTTAGTTGTTAAAATACTGAGTTTTCATTTATTCCACATTTTATACTATTTACTTCAATATACTTACCATTTTAATAAATAAATATAATGTAGAAGCTTCCTTACACTTTCTTCTGTGGAGATTCCAAATATCTGACCAGTATTAACTATATGAGACACGCGTCACCTCGCTTTGGGGAAATGCACGTAATGTGCTTTGTATTCTGGCTGCACTGACTGCGATGCATGCATGCGTCGTATGCATGAACGCGCTGATTGAACAATAGCTATTCAGTAACTGTCTTGCATACTCTGTTCATACTCACTATCATTCAATTACTGACCCTCTAAATCTTTCAATCTTTCTCTCGCACTCTTCTTCCCACTGCACACTTTCTACACTGCGCCGGCGGCGACGCTTTTACTCTAAGTACCCTAGACCACCAAGTAGCCTCTCTTTCACAAGACTTCGACAAGACAAGACAGCGTCGCTTAGCGAGTCTGACTGTGACCCCATCTACTGAGGCCGCCGTTACTAAGCTATGAGTATTACTACATTTATATTCAGGAATCTGTAGGTTATAAAAAATATTTGTCTTCTGTATAGATCACTTTTTAATGTATTACTAGTTCTTTCATTCATCTATCAAAAAGTAAATTCTCTGAAAGTAATATATAAACGAACACAAGTTAATAAGCAACTTGTCATGAAATTACGACAGAGCTTTGACAGAAGCTGTTCTTATCATTATTGCTCGATCACACAGAAGTAGTGCCTGTGAGTAATAGCAGTATTAATAGTAGTAATACAAGTCATATTAGCCTTCTCTCAACAACAATTGTAGTTATCACACCGAAACCCTTTATTTTCGTTGTTAAGGAAAATATCACATTACATGTAGTCGTACGTCTCCGCCATCCAACTCTGTTTTGAGTTCTACTGAGAAGAAAATAGCGTGTCCTCGGATGAAAATCAACATTTTGATCCTCATTTTTGGATATACTTCGGGACATTACAGTATTGCCATTTCATCACAATGCCAATAATTGACAATAAAAACTACCTTTCAGGTGTCCGTGACTAGAACTGGCTGAAAACGCAATTCGAGAAGGTGAACTGACTGCGCATACTCCTCTTCAGCACACACTTTTATTTGAGAACGATCTCAATACTCATGACGTTCATGTGAACCGGCTGCATATGTTCACTTTGTACACACACTTTCATTTAAGAAACAAGCTCAATACTCATGAAGTTAACGCAAATGTCTTATTCTTAAAATGAAGTCAAGGTTTTCCAACACAGGCTCAATACACATATCGTGATGGCAAATCACCTGAACATGATCACAAAGAACGCATGTATTGTCTTTCACAACGGGATAAATACGCTCTGTCAGAAATTGAACATGCTAACTTGAGTGTGAGCTTTTACTTCCAGAAGGGGCTCAACACCCACGACGTGAACGTGAACCGGTTGGACATGCTGACGGTGAGCATGGCGGACACGCTTTTCCGCGAGTTGGCCGATCGCCTGGCAGAGAAGCGGCAGTCGGAGGAGTCGAGGAAAAGCTCGGAGGAGGCCTCGGGCACGAGTTCCGGGAAGAGATCGAGGAAACGCTCGCGCAAGAGGTCCCGCAAGAGCTCCCGAAAGGGCTCGAAGAAGCGATCCAAATCCAAAGGTTCGAAGGCCACGGTGCTGTCCAAGAGGCGCTCGCGCCCGTCCAAGAAGCCCTCCAAAACGTCGGAACGGACGTCCAAAGTGTCGGGGAAGTCGTCCAAAAGGTCCAGGAAATCCTCCGGGTCCGGGTCCAGGAAGGGTTCGCGGAAGAAAAGCAGTCGCAGATCGCGCGGTGAGTTTTAATGACACACTGCCTAACCAGACATTTTACGTTTGACATCATTTGGCTTGAGTCCTTTGAAATTTGAAAAACATTTAAAATTTGGGGGTAGTTTACATGAAGCCCTCTGGACATTTTTTAAAAACTTTCTTCAAAACCGTTCCAATTTTCTTAAATTTCTTGTAAGAATAGAATAACACACACAAAGCCGCGTAGGTCCAATTTTGAGGGTTAAGTCTGAATTTTCGAAAATTTCAAAAGTATTATTTTTTCTGTCTTCCTACAAAATTAAAGGTAGAGATTGTCCTTCAAATACAATTTGTTCCCCATAGTGAGTTCTTTCATTAACGTAGTTTACATTTTCTTGAAAATTTTAGTAATTTTCGTGCAAAATTGCGTGCAATTTAAAAAATTACAAAAACAAGATTTTCTCAAACTGAAATTTTTACTTCAAACGTTTGGTAGGAATAGTGCTAAATTTACTCTAAAAGATAGCATATACGCCATGTTGGTCTATTCTTTTATCAATCTTATCTTACATCGTCTCTCATTAACATTTATATTAGCGGCAAATTGTTCACATTGTTATATTTATGAGTGCATATGCTTTAAATAATGTCATACAAATATTCTCGAAAAAAAACATTTTTCTGTGAAAACTAGCTCAAAATCCTGCATTTTCAGTAACGCTCTAGCGCCATTTTCTCAAAAACCGTTTCATATTTTTTCTTCAAACATTTCGAACGGGTAGTTGCACTCTTTAGTTTGACCAAGAGTTCATTTTTGAATTTTTTTTCTAAAATAACACTAATATAATTTTTTGAAAGATCTCTCATGGGTTTAGTATGCACATTTCCAGCTACTTGAATCATTATTGCATTTGTGAGTTAAAGTACTTAAAATGATATAATAAAAAGGAAATAGTCATTTAGAACGAGGTTTCACTGTTCTTTAATATTATGTGAAAATACATTTTTTTCAAAATACAAAAAATATGTTTATCGAAATTAGATCTTCAAATAAGGTCATGTTCAATATTTTGAAAATATGAGTATATTTATAGTCATTTGGCGACAAAATTAAATGCCCGCTGCGAATTTACTTCGCTTCGGGAACGATTCCAGACAGTTTGATGCTTTGTAAATTAAAATTTGTATATTTTTTTTATATTGCTTTGTTCGTTTCTTACTTTTGACCTTTTCTTTTACATTTACACATAAATATTTTAGAAATTATTTAAAACCTATTTGAAATTAAAGAAATAAAACTTGCTATCAGGGAATATCAACAATGCAGGGAATGCAACAATGGAATTTCGCGTTCCGCTCGCGAATTCATGTGAATTACCTCTCATTGTTGTAACATGATTTAGCTGTATGAAAAGGAGTTACTATTGTCATATTTGTGTTTATATTTGCTTGAAAATATTTAGTTTTCGTTCCAAATGCTCTGCCATTCGTCATAAGTAGACACCGGGACTTCATGCACTAAAAATGTTAAAATTATATGCAACCATGCACTTAAAATAGCATACACACGCTTAAAACTCAGAAAATGTATCAAACAAAAATATAGTCAGCAACATATAACATTTATTAATGTAAATCTTTATTTTACACTGTAATACAAAACGCGTACAAAAAAATATATTTTTTGAAACATTGCAATAAACAAAAACGTTAGTGCAACGAAAATGCCTCGCTTCAGCCCAGGTCTACGAAAAAACCTGGAATATATGCTCTTCAATCTGCCACATAAATAAAGATATGAAGTTAATGAAAGAAATCCCAAGGTTGAGAGCTCATTTGACAGCTTGAAAACCCGATTTCTTTCTGAATGGAATATCTGTCTCTGACCGTACTTCTAATAGTAACTGCCAATAAAATCGAAATTATCTATCAGATGTTAATTTTTAGGGCTATTTTTTTTGTCAAAACCGGTTGCCTTCTAAACCCCAATAAGATTTATTTTTAAACGTGCACTAATCAATGCACATTCAGACTCTTCGTCCGTGGTTAATGATTGTGATAATTATAAATGAATGAGTGAATGAATGGGAACGAATGAATGATTGAGAACGAATGAATGAATGAATGTGAATGTGAATTAATGAATTTGTATGTGAAAGATGAATATGAATGAGAATGATAAATATGAATGAGAATGAATGGATTTGAATGTGAATGATTGGACATGAATTTGAATGTGAATAAATGAATATGAATTTGAATGGGAATGAATGAATATGAAGTTGAATGTGAATGTGAATGAATGAATATGAAGTTGAATGTGAATGAATGAAAATGAAGTTGAATGTGAATGTGAATGAATGTTAATGAGTATGAATGTGAATGTGAATGAAAGTTAATGAGTATGAATGTGAATGTGAATGAATGTTAATGAGTATGAATGTGAATGTGAATGAATGTTAATGAGTATGAATGTGAACGTGAATGAATGAGTATTCTCCTCTGTTGCCAGGAAAGCGGACCCGCGCGTCGCGCGAGTCCCGCGAGAAGGCGAAGCGCAGCTACTCAGAGGAAGAGGAAGGCGAAGGGGAGGAGGAGGAGGACACGCGGATCCGGTGGGAGGACGTGCCCAAGCTGGGCCACATGCTCTTCCCGCTGCTGCGGCCCAGCCCGCTGACGCCGCTCACGCGGGACACGGCCGCCCAGCAGTTCGTCGTCTGCGAGGACTTGCTGCCGCTCCTGCACCGCATGATCCAGGAGCACGTGCCCGTCACGCGCAAGAACCTGCAGCCCCGCCTGCGCCGCCTGCGGCTCGTCAACTGCGATGTGAGTGAATGCTTAGCCTTTCGCGACCGGACGCAGGAGCTACTAGGCTGGACGAGAGACGCAGCGTCCTAGGCGCAGAGGCCAACGTTTCGCCCGACAATTTGCCCTGAGGAAGGTCTCAGAGTGGCGGTCAACACGTTGGGATCTGTGCGTAGGACGCAGCGATTCCCGGACAGCCAAGTATCTACTTCTATGTGGATGTTTGCCATAGATATGTGGTGTGTGGGTGATAGTCCTTTCTTTCCTCGTTTCATTTATGATTAGCTCCAACTAAATGGTTTGTCATGAATGATTTGCTCGTCCCCTTTTTACCTAGCAGTGCCTGGTTACTTCCAGGAGTACTCTGCAACCAAAGCCGCTCGGCTGGGTCTAGCCCAATGAAGGGCAATCAGACTTCCCCCTTTGCCTACGAAGTAGCCCTCAGCCACATCGCGGCTAGAACAGTTTTATGACGCCCGATGTTAGTCGCGGGAGCCTCACGGCGCTGCGCCGTTTCAACCTCAAACTGGAACCAAATAAATTTAGATTGAGAACTAACACAACTTTGAAACAAACACGATAGAATTGGTATTAAATAGAATCAAGTCGCGAGAAAATTCAGAATCCTTATCATATTTTGTATTGAAACAAAGAACAACTAATTGAGTAACGAATTGAGAATCAACAATCGTTTTAGTTGACAATAGAAAATATTAGGTTTGTGGTCGAAGTTTTATTTCTCCTGGGGAATGAGTAATATTAATAAAAGGAAAGCGCACGGCATTAAACAACAAATCCTGTATTTAATAATATTAGATATGGATGGTATTTGTCAAATTCACGCTGTTTGAAGAAGTCAACTGCAAACAGATAGGCGAAGAATGATGATGAAAACAAGCCATGTGGTGTAAGAATGGGAGTGAACATTATTGAAGAACATACATTTATTATTTATTGCATAGAAGAAAATCCCAGGGTTACAATGAAAGAACGTAAGTGGAAATTTCCTGAATCTTGCCCCAGGTGATGATTGGGGCTTGAACGTATGTGAATGATGATGGAACAATGCTGCAATGAGAGACAGAATAGTAGAATCCCGAAAATACGAGGTTGTTTCCATACTTCCTGGCTCACTAACTTCCAGTTGTGATAGAAAAAAAAGAAAATTGTTACTAACGTCAATCAAACTTTACTACTAACTTTTCACGTGTGTAAACAATTCTTTGAAATTGGGTTTTCAAAATGGTCAAAAAACGTCATGTTTCCACCGCACTGTCATCTGATTTTTTCCGGAAGGTTTTTGTTCAGTTTTGAGAAGAGATAGTAGTCTCTATGCGACCAACCTGGACTCTCGGGCGGTTGGTCCAACTTCTTGAAGTCGCAATCCATCACAGACGTCTTCACAATCTTAAGCAGTTTGGTAATTTGTCGGGAAAAAGCCAAACACAATGACATTTTAAATAGCTTTTGCAACCATACCCAGGATGAATGTTGATGAGAATGGATGTAGATATCGTAGAATTTATAAAAAAAGTTTAGATAAATATGCATGACAAGTGTACGGTTTATGCACACTAGAGCAAACGTGGGTATTGAGGTGTGAAAAAACTTTACAATGGGTTACAACACGCTAAATACAATACTTAAATATTTAAAATATAATAATAGAGATATTATTTTACAAAAACTCGAATAAAACAATTAAAATTCTACCTTTCTTCTTGTCTGAATTCCATTTACATGCAGTTGAAAAAGTTTTTGAAATAAGTCTTACATCATGTTACGCTCAAAACTATCGTACTTTGCATCTACCGACCTCCAACAAAGATCTTTAGATAATTTCATTTTCTAAGAACATCTACAGATAACTCTAAACATATTAGTAATCTATCTTTTAACTCCATTGCTGCATGTGGAGATTTCAATATTGATTTTCTGAGCGCTATTCCTCAACTAACTTCATTCTTTTAATTTAAATATTACAGTGGATGAACCTACTGCATACGCAGCATAGCGAAAGTATTATAATGCCGCAGCAGACATAATGGCAATTTATTGACATAAAATCTCTTCTTGTGGGGCCCAGATATCGAAAAAGTGGATCCTGTGTCTAGTAATTTACTTTCCTTACGACGTTGCGTTTCAGTCAGTTTCTACGTTTTGTGGATCCTTGGTAGCAAAAAATGGCTTCATGGGGAAATATTTATTTTTCAGTCATTTCATTTTTTCACTTTTGATTCCTTCTTTTTCTTAACAAAAGCTCTACAAATTAATTTTTGCGAGTACTACTATGTATATTCCCCAATCAAATTAAGACTAAATAAGGTAACGGTTAAGTTTTAGAAATTGGAGTTGCTTTAAAGTTTAATATTTGGGTATATCCACAAAAGGACACTGTTAATTGTTTCATATTAATACTTGGTGTAATTGTATAGTGTTATCAAGTCGCCCGACAGCGTTTCTTTTGCAACTGTTGAAAGCTGGGTGAAATTTGACACAAAACTGGGTATGTCTTGCTGGTATTACCGCATTAAAATGTGAAGGTGGTATCAAAACCCTCACGCAAATAAAACTATCCAGAAGCGCATTCAATACCTTAGAATAAATAAAACGTTCTGTTGACAATTATTTATTTTTATTTTAAGATATTTTAGAGTGCAGTAGTGTTAATTGATCATGGTTCCATGTGCCTCGGTTAATTGCCCGCAGTTTTTTGCTAGAATCTTTCAGGAGTTACCACGCATGCAAAGCAACAATCAAAGCCGAGAACATAGATCTTTCCGCCCAGCTGTTTAATTTTCTCAGAATAACTTCACATTTTCGGACGGTGTTCATGGGTGTATGGAACGGAGTTTTGCATTTTAGAATTTGTGTTGATATATTTCGTTTAAACAAATTTGTTTTGCTTCTGATGCCCTACGATTTTATTAATGAGTTTTAGAAGTGATGACTGAGATGTGTCAATAATTAATGCTATTTTAAATATTCTATAAAGGTTTATAAGTTAGAAATTCAATATATGTAAATTGCATTAAAATGTGTCTACTATGGTTTCGATTCAGAACGCTGTGTCTCACGTCATACTAACATGCTAAAATGTCTAACAAAAGTATGAATTAGTACAGGATTTTCAAAATTGACAAGCAACTCCATTGGTAAATGCTGCGCAACAAAATTAGAACACGAATGTATTTACAACATAACATATGACAGTTATTCGTTATGACAATCCTTCATAAAATTTGGATTGGTAATTGATTCAGAAAATTTCCCATCGGTATAGACGTCCCGAACCGCTTCCACCACAGCGGCAGTTCCGAGATGTATAAGATTGGCGAAATAAATCCGCCCTCGGCCGCCCCCACTGCGCCGATTTCCGGCGCAGCAGCCCGGCAATTTCCGTCCTCGACGGAGTTGCGGCGAGGACGCGAGGGCGAGGGCGAGGACTCGAGGCCGAGGGCGAGGACTCGAGGGTGAGGGTGAGGA